AACTATAGGTTTTCTCAAAATTCACACATGGATTTGTGTCCCATTTATGTATCAGATAACACTAACCATGATAGTGCTAGAAAACGTCCTCAAAAATATAATAACATAAAAATGTTACACATTATAACAGACTTCCATACAAAAGTCAAAAATATATCAACTATAAACAACCAAATAATCCAGAATTACAAAATAGTCAGTTAATTAGAAATAGGTATTGTGACGGAAACACTCAGTCCAAAAAGAAACAAATGTCGATTATCAATTAATGTTGTAAATGCGGAGCAAAATAGTTCCATAACAGTAATGTTAGGGAAAATATGTATAAGAGCGTTAGTAGACCAGTGTGTCTATCATATCTAAGGATCAATACAATAATAGTGGACTGAAAGACATACATAAACAACAACCAACGGAGACTGGACATGTTAGAGGTGTTGGAGGTTCACTAACAAAGGTACGTACATGGCATTGTGTCATTACCAATACGAATAGGGCGACTAACACTGCACCAAGAATTCCTTATTTTTGAAAGCAATGTTCATTCCTTAATATTAGGTGTCGATTTCTTACAAACACAAAAGGCAGTGACAGATTTTGATTTACAGACACTCAGTCTTCAGAATGGAATGACAGTTGTACCACTTGGAGAAAAACAATCATCAGTTACAAGGTATTTGGTCAAATTAAAGGACAACTTAAAAATTCCAAAAAGAACGGAAGCCATAGTACCTGTTGTTATCAAAAATGTTGGATTGAAAAATGGTATTGGCATCATTGAAGCAAATAAAACACTTATAAATAAATGTTACGTACTGGGTGCTAGATGTTTAGTAGATGTCATTAATGGTTTAACTTCATACAAACTGCTAAACCTCGACCAATGATGATGTGAGCCTAAACAGTAAAGAAGTGTTGGGTATGCTGTCATGGGTGTTCGAAGATGAAATCCTAGAGGAGCTAACTGATGAGCATTCACATTTCAATATCATGCAAGAGTCATTGGAAGCTGCTAACAAAAACAAAGCATTCATTGAAGAAGCTAAATTTCTGGGTGTGGAATTACAGTTAGACGACCGTTGGACACAAGCAAATGCGAGAAAATAATTGAAGTATTAACAATTTTAATTCTTTGAGACTGAATTTGTTATTTACGAAAGAAATTAAATTAGTTTGAATCCTGTGCTTTATCAATTTTGTGTTAAATAAAAATATTCTTCATTTGCACATCACGGCGTATGGCCAGTCTTCATTTTCATGTATACATTCATGGTGTGAAAAAAAAAAAAATCAGAAATGAAATAAAATTTAACGTCCTAACAGAAAATGAGTAAACCGTTAAACACCCATTTCATTTGATTATTGTTTACCAATATTATCTAATCATATTTACTATAATTTTTCGGGTTCCTAGAAATTGGTAAAAGATTTGATTGAAACTTAGCATCTTGTTGTTTTTATTGTTATTGGTATAGTTAGGCTACACTAGGTACAGGTTTTGTTTGTATGTATATATGGCATATGGTTCATTTGTCAAGTTTTATTTTTTGATATTTTATAATTATTTATAGAAAATTTAAAATCATTGTAAAAGATATAAAAAGAAATGTTATTTAATTACTATTCAGAGTAATCATAAAATTCTGGTTTTGATTTGATCATTTCAACATCAGAAAGGTAACCAATTTCTATGATCTAATGTCTTTTTTTAGGTATTGTGGTACTGTGATACTGTTATTTTTTTCCACTCCAGTCAGAAATAAGACCGATTTCCTTTAATTTTATCCCAATTAAAAATTATTAAAATAGTTTTATATATGAGGTAGACATACATGTACATTGTAGGCTTACCTAAGTGTAACAGATTTCTGTTTGTTACAATTCATTTCCTTTTATTAAGTTTCATATTTTGTTTAAAATTTCATAACTGGTCAGAGAAAACATACTTCCCAGTTTGATTTTAGTATTCCATCACCAGAAAACCAATTTTCAAGATCTAATGGGGTTTTCTAATGGTTTTTTTTTTATGATTTTGTTTTATATTGTTATTTTTATTACTTTTCTGTACGAAATATGGCTGATTTCCTTTCAATTTTGTCCAAATAAAAAGTTAAAAGGTTAGATTTCGGGTTGATTTTAGTAAATGTGTATATCTAGCACATGTGTGTAAAATTATTTTATCATTTTTGCCAGGTTTTGACAGTATTTTGGAAAACGCTGCTTACTTAATGGTATATAAAACCAGCCACAAAAAAAAAATTCTGAACCAATTTTAAATTTTTTAAATAGATTAATGATTCTCAGGATTTTCTGTTAACTGTGTGCAAAATTACAGGTCTCTAGCTAAGAAAAATAGCACAAAGATTTTGTCTTTACGTGAACATGACTAAAATATTTTCCCTATGCGCAGGTGCAACGGGAAGGGCCATAAAAATAGCCTACGGATATGGAAAACGCTAGATCAGAGATCGTCATGGAGGTGTATATATTGACTAGAGTGTATTGTGGTCACGTGACCTCCATTGACGTAACACTAACGTCGTGAGCCATCACTGGAGACCGGCCGCCATGTTTCTGGTATATTTTTGGGGCTTTAATATTAAACATGCATTATGCAAGAGCAAAATCTGCTTATTACAAGTCTTTCTTTAGGCCTGAAATGTTATCTAAATTATCAATTAGACATTAATTAACTTATCCAGACCATAATAAACTCTCAATGTAAAGGCTAGCCTTCGATGTTGCTGTTTATATTAATGATTTTAGTAATGATGACCGAGACTATGCGAAAATTTCACCCACTTGGTTCTCGGCTCATAGTGGATCAATTTGACTGACATTTTCAGCAAATTACCTTTACACTATCTAGTTTTTAGCTATTATAGCGAGAACTGCCATCTCTTTATCTTATCTCCCATAATGTATCTTTAAGAATAACTCTAACATAATCATCATAACCGTGGACGTGGTATTGATATGGCGTATATTAGTGTAGAACTGCCGAAATCATGTTGATTTTATTAATTGAGCATAGTGACCGTCCTCAAATGTCCAGATCCATAAGGCGTTCAGCTAAATTTTGAAACGCGGCTCCTCACAGTTCACATAAAACTTCATTTTGAATTGATTGAAATAATTTGAAATGAAAGGAATGCTTGATGGACAGATAACGATAACATCATCCAGATGATAAGAGGTGATAAATAAAGAAATAAAATAGATTTTAAAAATAAATAAATAATCTAACTTCTATCATTTACCAGGAGAATATTATCTGATGGGAAAGATTTTAAAAAAAGGAAAATATAAACAGGGCTAGCAAGGCCTTAGGCTTATATGGTTTTCAATTTCCATGATACAGTGTCTGATTTTTCTTTGGTTGAAAAATACGGCGGTATATTAAATTTTACAAAAGAATAAGATTAACTTAATGAGATTTTTGCAGTAGCTTTGATTAAAAAAAATATTGGCCCTATTTTTTTACGAAATTTGACTGGGAATGAAGTTTTCACGACTTTGTCCTTATTATCAATAACCATTTTTTTTTTTACTAGTCAGGGGTTTTCATCGAATCGAATCAAAATTGTGACCTCTAGAGGGTCCACAACATTGATAAACCAGATGTTTACACTATTTGCGTACAAGGGGCGGCCATTTTGTCCGGCAGTTTTGGCCCGATTTTCACCAAATTTGAACTCAACAAACATTACGGTGTAATGGTGATATATATTCGAACGTTTTTTTAAACAAGCTAAAAACGCGATTTTTCGTACAATCAGAGGCCATAATTCAGGAAGTTACGATCTGATATGCGCAATTTATTGAAAGGAACCAAGATCTTTGGGTTATAAACTTCCATTTCAAGTTTCATCAAAATCGGATCAAAATTGTGGCCTCTAGAGTACCACAACTTTGATATACCGGATGTTTACACTATTTGTGTACGAAGGGCGGTCATTTTTTCTGTCAGTTTTGGTCTGATTTTCATGAAATTTAAACTCAGAGAAAATTACGGTGTAACGGTGATATATTCAAACGTTTTTTTAAATCGGATAATAATTGTGCCCTTTAAAGGACCACAAGCTAAAAATGTGACTTTTCGTACAATCAGGGGCCATAATTCAGGAGGTTACGATTCAACTCAATATGTACGAAAATCGATAGGAACCAAGATATTTGGGTTATAAACAAGCATTTCAAGTTTCATCAAAATCAGATGAGAATTGTGACCTCCAGAGGGTCCACAACCCTGATACACAATATTTTCACACTATTTGTGAACGAGGGGCGGCCATTTTGTCTGTCAGTTTCGGTCTGATTTTTACGAAGTTCGGACTCAACCATCCTTAGGGTGTAACAGTGATATATTTAAACGATTTTTTAAATCGGATAAAAATTGTGACCTCTATAGGGTCCACAAGCTAAAAACACGATTATTCGTACAATCAGGGGCCATAATTCAGGCAGTTTTGGTCCGATATGCGTGAATATAGACAGGAACCGGGATCTGTGAATTATTAACATACATTTCAAGTTTAAACCAAATTGAATACATGCCACTATCGAAAGGGACCGAGATCTTAGGGTGGTAAACCTATATTTCAAGTTTCATTGAAATCGGATAAAAATTGTGACCTGTAGAGTGTTCACAATCAATTGTGGACAGACGGACAGGGGCAACGACAATATACATCCACATGAAAATGTGGGCGTATAAAAACTCTACTATACCAGATGTGTATGATTATATATGCAATTTCCATAATAATTAAATATACATTAATTTGGAAGTTCGCTGAACACACAGAGATTGTAATTATTACATAATAAAAGTATCAGTACTAATAAATTATGTGAATCGGCCCGCACAGTTTCCGGCCCAAGCTTCAACTACTTCAAGTGTTCGACGTCTTCTCGCCGTGTTTATTAAATTATTTTACACAATTATCATGATTATGCTATATCTATTAGATCACTATTTTACTTATAACTTATCATACCTACATATGAAATGATAATCCACTCTCTTTTCGCCTGACATTGAATTAACCAAAACAACAACAACTCTCCGGCATGTTGGTATATGGGAACATAGGCTAAATCTTCCCGGTTGTAAAATGGCCTCCAAGCTCCATAGTTAGCACACAATCACGTGACCACCATACACTCTAGTCAACAGTCAATATATATATACCTCTATACATTTTACCGACCTTTTAGCTTCTGCCGAGAGATACGTTTAACTGATTGACGCATTTTGTTTGTTGACTATTTAGACTCAAATAACAAGACACTAAGAAGGATTCTGACACACTGCGCTTTTGCCTAACGCTTCAGTTCATAATAATAATAATAATAATAATTTTTGTATATTTTAATTTTCGCGCTAAGACACCATTTTCTATACACGACTATTTTGCGTTGACCATTTAGATTGGCCTTTAAATATGAACATTCCCGTGTTTATAGTTAACGACCTATAAATCTGACAGTCCCTCCATTCGTGTGAAAGTTTGTTTTTCAGACATTCTGGTAGATGACCCATCAATCTAACTGACAGCTATTTCCATCGTCCCTTAGTGTGAAAGTCTGTTAATCTGACCTTCTCATATTTCTAGTATATAATATACAAAGTTAACTTTCCATACAGCTATCAAGAACCCCTAGTACTTTTGTACAATATAGGCTTGTTACAGGCATACTGTATATATAATTTTTTTTTCACTAATCTGTTAATTTTTTATGCTTATTACTTTTTATATAATTTATTTCCATATATCATAGCATGTATACACTTGTCAGCGATATCACTTTGGTGGAAGCGGATGTTAAATAACGGTATTTCACACACACGACACAGTGATACACAATACGCCTTTCCTATTTCTTTAGTTGACAGGCTCAACTTTCATACATCATCCAGAAAAAGAACTTTTTGTAAATTAGTGTGACATTATGGAAATAATATAAATTTCTCGCCCCTCCTTACAATATTAAGTAACCAATCATATTTTCTGAAGGGCATCTTCTCTGCTTTCACCCTAGAGTGGGACAATATTTGAAAATTTCAAAATCACATATTGTTTCAAAAATTGTCAATATATTATCAGTATTGTGACCTGTCATGGCATAATGAATCGCAATGAGGAAATTTTGAATTTGATGTATAGTTTGTTTGAATCGGGCAAAAATTGACAGAGCTGTATCCATTTGACGCTACCCGACACATAAAATTAAGTTTTTTAGAAAAAGCAAGTCAATGATTTGGTATGTTCCAAAACAAAATCCCCCAGCAACCAGGCCATTTATTTGCTGTTTTCTCTTTGAATATATCTTACCAGGGGTTTTCAGGGGTTCTGAAGACGAAAATCGTAGTAAAAATTTGATCTGACGATTTCTGCCATTTATTTGCTATTTTGTTGTTTAATATTTTTTTATCTAGAATTTCAAGGATGCTGAAGACGAAAATTGTAGTAAATGCACTCTTTGCGTAAAGTAACATCCACAACACATTAATTAGCACCTCAGAAATGTTAATTTCATTGGCAAGAAATGCTTACATTCACTTTCGTGCATTTTGGCTTTGATGTAATTAAACAATGGCAGACTGTTTTTCCCACTTGAGAATCGTCGCATTTCGGCACGTTGGTTGTTCTCATTTTTTCAACCCATGGTGATAAGAGAATTTTAAACAATAATATCCATTATGCATTCCTCATTTTGCATGCCGTTTCAAGAAGGGACAGTAAACAGAATTCATCTATCAATAAAATTGGCCATTTTGTTTATTTCCATTTAAGGCCTATAAATTATTTTTTTAAAGATGAAACGAGAAATCAAATAATCACCACTTGGATTAATTATTAGGAGTAAATAATGAGTTGTTGTCGGCTTTATCATTGATCTGTGACAGTTGATTAGTATTACTCAATGACACACCTGCTTGTCAATTCGGCCATAATTCTGCCATGTGGTTTTGCTGAACACTCAACGGCAATCTATATATGATCAGAATTAATTTTTTTTTCTGCCACTTATCAGAGTGAATTACCAAAAACATTATCACCAAAACCAAATATCTATCGTCCGCTCGAGCCAGCCACGTAACCATAATGCTTTGCACATGGTGTCTGGGTCAATCAGCAAACGAGTTGTGTAGACAGCATAGCAACAAGCGGAGTTCGTTTACATTTTTTAGAGGTTTTAAAACTCGATTGTATCTGTTCAAGATAGGTTGCCAGACAACGAAACATACGCCCACAGCAGCTAAACCGTCCAAGCGGTCGACAAGGGTTGTCACATATTTATTCCTTTGTAGGTAATTGGGGGCCTTTACAAGACAGTTCCATACAAGGTTCTACAAACTGAAACAAGGGTCTCAACTCTGGAAGTAATTTACAGAAATTGTTGAAATTTGACAGGCTTTTTTGTTTTGCTAATTTAAATATTGCATATAAATTTCATACAGATCAGATGATCACTTTTGTCATTCAAACGTTCACAAGGTTCACAACCGCCATAAATCTAGCAATTATTGACGGAAATTGCTGAAATTCAATAGACCTCTGTTTCAAAAATTAAAATGATGCATATAAATTTCATACATATCGGATGATAACTTCCATCAATCGAGCATTAACAAGGTTGAACAAAGTGAAACAAAGGCCATAACTCTAGATGTAATTAACGGAAATTGCTGAAATTCAATAGGATTCTTTGTTTTACTCATTTAAATGATGCATATAAATTTCATACAGATCGGCCGATAACTTTTGATGTTAGAGAGCATTCACACGGTTCAATAAAGTGAAACAAGGGCCATGATTCTAGATGTAATAAACGGAAATTGCTGAAATTCAATAGGCATCTTTGTTTCATTAATTTAAATAATGTATATAAATTTCAGAAAGATCGGATGATCACTTTTGGCGTTAGAGTGTTCACAAGGTTTAATCAAGTGAAACAAATGCCATAACTCTAGACATAATGAACAGAAATTATTGACATTAAATTTGCTGAAACTCAATAGGCTTGTTCGTTTTACTAATTCAAACCATACATGTAAATTTCAGATAATAACTTTTGTCGTCAGAGCATTCACAATAATCACAAGGTACAACAAAGTGAAACAAGGGCCATAACTCATGGCATAATTAACGGAAATAGCTGAAATTCAAAAGGATTCTTTGTTTTACTAATTTAAATGATGCACATAAATTTCATACAGATCGGTTGATAACTTTTGTCGTCAGAGCGTTCACAGGGTGCAACAAGGGCCATAACTCTAGATGTAATTAATGGAAATTGCTGAAATTCAATAGGATTCTTTATTTTACTAAATTAAATGATGCATATAAATTTCATACAGATTGGTTGATAACTTTTGTCGTTAGAGCGTTCACAAGGTGCAACAAGGGCCATAGCATCTAGATGTAATTAACGGAAATTGCTGAAATTCAATAGGATTCTTTGTTTTACTCATTTAAATGATGCTGTAATGTTCAAATTTGTTTAGTGTCTAAATTGTCCGAGTACATGAGTATATAATTTCACTTAATATTCATGAGGTAATATAAACCGCTGGTGTGGCGGGAATTCTGGCAGTGAAAGCGTGACCACCGTGGTGTCGATTAGCGTGGAAGGCATATTGTCTTTTCACCGTGTATACATTATGTGTTTTTTATTTTAGTGATTTTAAATTAGTATGAACAAAAGTGACTCTAATGAGTGTATTAGGGATTTAGTCATAAGTGAATAATTTCATGTTATGAATTGTGTGTTGTGTTTCATATTAGTAAGTGACTTTAATTCATTTTGCAATGAGACATTCATCGTGTGGGTGAATAGTTTTCAAGCAATTAAGTGAGCTTTATATCTTCTGACTTATGATTATTATCATCAAAATCTAAACTATATATAGAACTTTATATACTTCAATATTAACTTTTGTAATCATTAAATTGCTGAATATAAACTATTATTAATTATTAACTGTGTTGGTGTCTACATATATGTAAAGAAGGTTCTCACGAAGACCGCGTGTTAGATAAAAAATTTCCCCTGCTCTGGGTGTAACCTTTCCTGTGTCAAGGCCACAACTTTGGTGGTTCTTGACAATTCCAGAGATAAGAAATACGTATAGTATAACGAGTGCAAAACAATAGAAGATTTCACGCACTATCGGCACAGTATAGCCATTTTTCAGCTATACATAATATTAGTGAAAAGACATCTACCGTTGCTATTGTGATGCACTGTAAAAAATAAAGTGTTAATTCTGAACAATGTCATCTACTGGCAGTGTTTCTGTTGATAATGACCCTAATGGGGCCGGTGAAGTCATTGATCCTAAAATTATTGTGCAACAACCAGTGGGAACAGCTAAGCATATGCCTCCAGTGGGCCATATTCAAGTGGACGCTGACATTCATACTGGTGAGACCGTGAAACCGCTCAGCTCTATTGAAGTTCAAGACGAAGGGGACCAAATACAGCCTCATGACAGTGTTTCTAATGTGTCCAACGGAAGTGGAAAGACTTCGTCAACAACGTTATCGAAATTAAGACTAAAAAACATTCAAAAGGAAATCGAGTTAAAACAAAAATTAGCGGCTCTAGAGGAACAAAATACAATAGATGATCAAATAAAATTGTTACAACGCAAAAAAACCCAAATTCAATTAGAATCTGAACTTATAGCTGCGATGGAAGTAAATAAACATTTTAAATTGCAATCTGATCCTGAAGTGACTTTCGGATCGCCGCAACGTGTTAATTATAGGGAGAATCAGGGTGTGAGGGAAAGTGCTGGTGAAAGTGAACAACATTTACTACCGTCTAGCGATAGTGACACATTGCATCCTACAAGTGCCAAGTCAGTGCCAAGTGAGACATTAGTGAAGGATGAAGATGACAATGTGAGTATGAAAGATATACTAAATCGTTTAATACAAAGCCAGCGTGAACAAGCCCTACCTACACAAGACATCAAAATATTTGATGGATCAAATCCATTGGAATTTCCAAAATTTATGCAAAATATTAAATACGTCGTGGAGAATAATACACAAGATAGTGCAAGAAGACTAGAACTTCTAATTAAGTATACTAAGGGTGATGCTTATGAATTACTAAAACAGTGTCCAATGATAATCCCTTCTTCAAAGGC